TGACAAATTGATTATTTGCATCAGATCGTTGCAATTTCTTCTTATTTCCAGCGGTGTTTAATTAAGTCTATTAATTCGATGTGTATACGTCAGTTTTTTCATACAGTGTACAACTTTTGTAGTTCTTCGTTGAACTTGTTAAAGTACTGACAGCACCTTATTGCATTAATTTTTTACAAAAATAAAAAAAAATATTTGTTCTCAAGAGAGTTGTTTTTACGGAGAAGATGAAAAAAAAATGAACACGATTAAAAACAGCTAGGTCTCTAAGCCAATTTTGAACGGAAAAAGTTCCTGATTTGTAAGTAAAATTGTCTAATTTCAAATAAGCTATAAACAGCCGGTAACAACATATCGGCTAATTATTAATAATCAGCCAAATATACATTATCTAATGTATTCAATACTCAACTTTTGGTATCGAGTCTCGGTTTATTGTCAGGTAATTGTGCAATACCGTGCAGATATCGATATCAAGATCACGCGTACTGGTATTAAAAATATTGGTTATGTTGGTATTGTTTGGTACCAATAGTATCAATTGGTATCGAAGTTTGGGTGTTCTCAAGAATTCACGGTATCACTTCCATATTTTAGTTTCGAAATAGTAATTTTATATTATAACTGAGATGTTGGGAAAATAATTTATAACAAATAAAACATCATTTCGAATACTGATTCCATCCCCTAAGATTAACAACAGGTTATAATAAACTTATATATATATATATATATATATATATATATATATATATATATATATATATATATATATATATATATATATATATATATATATATATATATATATATATAAATGTGTGTGTGTGTATATATATTTGGATATAGAGGAACCGTTGGGGTAAAATGAGACAGCCGTTGGGTGAAGTAGGACAAGCAAGTGATTAACAACATTTTAACAAAGGCTGTTAATTAAAAACTATTAAAGTCGTAAACTTCATCAAAATATTCAAGTGATTTCTATAATTGCGCCAATGTGATATCTGGGAGAAATATGAGATCAAATAATTTTTTTTGTTCCATTTCACCCCTTACGAAATCGTTTATTAGAGGTACTTTTCAAGAATGTGTTTTTTACCACACTCAAAAATTCTAGTTAGTAATTAATTTAATGTTATCTAATGTAAACAATTAGATTTTTTAGATTTATTTATTTATTATTTTATTTCGACCTTTGAAATAAGCTTTACAATGTTTTACAACATAACAATATAAGTTTTGAAAAATTCCGACTGGAGCTGGCAGAAGACATGGTCATATCATCCAGCCCCGTTGTTACAAATTTAGATATAATCTTGTATATAATACATATGCATAAACTTTTTTTATTTTATCTGATTTTTTTATATTCATTTTTTTTTTTTTTAATTTTTTTATTATTATTATTTTTTTTTACGTCAACATAATAATATAACTTTAAAATCCATACATATTAAAGAAAATAGTTATTGAAAAAACAAAATAAAAACGTATTGCGTTGTATAAGATATTAAGTAGTTAAGGTTAAATAATATACTTGATACTAATTAAATAACGGGTGTTCACTTGAAATCCGGACTGACTTTAAGTCAATATAAATCTGACATAATTTATTGCAATTGTACCATGTGATACATTATTTTAAAGCGTTTAAATTTAGCTTTAATATGCTACATTTATATTTAGATTGAATGATTATTCAAATTGAAAATGAAACCTAAACAAGACGACACTCAAAAACGTGTGTACAACTTCTATATTGAAAATAAAGAAAAAGGCAAAAAGTACACCGTAGATCATTTTGAAAAAGAAAAAATTGCCAGATCGACCATCTATGATATAATTAAACGTGCTGATGACGATTCTGGATATCTTAGACGTCCTGGTTCAGGAAAAAAAGCTCTAAAAATGACTCAAAAAAAAGTACAAGCATTAAAATCAATGTTTGATCATCACAATGGCGTTTCTTATAGGAAAGCAGGTAGAAAATTTAGAATATCAGCTTCTTATGCCCATAAAATTATTCAGACAAAATAAAAGATCAAGAAAAGAAAGAAGAAAAAGATTCCACATCGAACTGATGATCAAAAACTGATGGCAAAAACAAAGTGTGGTAGATTATATCGAGCTTTTAGCAAATTTGATTGGATCATTGATGATGAATCTTAATTTACTCTTTCTCATTCATAAATCAACGGAAACGATAACTTCTACAGAAGTGACATAAACCTAAGCCCATCTAGTGTTAAATATTATACAAAGCGAAAGTATGGACCCAAGCTCTTGGTCTGGGTAGCCTTTTCTGTAAAAGGAATGTCAAAAATTCTAATCCGTCAAAGTGGTCTTGCAATCAATCAAAAAATCTACTTAGAAGATTGTATTAAGAAACGTCTTATTCCTTTTATTAAAGAGCATCATCAAGACAGTCAATTCGTATTTTGGCCAGATCTGGCGACGTCTCATTATGCTAAATCTGTTCAAGCTTATTTAAATGGACGAAACGTCAGATTTGTACCAAAAGAAGATAACCCTGCAAATGTACCAGGAGCAAGACCTATTGAGGATTTTTGGTCAATAATAAAAGGTTTAGTTTACAAGGATAATTGGCAAGCAGAAAATTTAGAACAACTAAGGAAAAGGATAGTGTATTGCTTCAGCAAACTTGATATTAATCTTGTACAAGAGTTTGCTAAGGGTATTTTATCAAGAATTGATTCTATAAGAAGAAAAAATTTAATTGAAAATAAATAAAGTATCATATTATAGAGAATTAAATGCTGATTTTAAATCATATTTTAATTTTTTAAGTTGATAAAAAATAAGGGAGTTATGACCCTTTAAAGTCAGTCCGGATTTCAAGTGAGCACCCGTTACTATTAAAAAAAAAAATTCTAGTTGGTAATTAATTTAATGTTATCTGGTATCTTTAATTTATTATGTGATATCGCTTCTGCAATTTAATTTCTTATCTGATATTGTTATTCTAATATAACTTATCGAGCGGTATCACTTTTATATTTTAGTTTCTCATCTGGAATCGTTACTTTAATTAAATCTAGCGTGGTATCGTATTTCCTAGTATAGTTTTTCGTTCTGTGATCAGCTATAGTAAACTAATCACTATTCGTTATGCCTTTTATAACATCATTAACTCATTATTATTAACTTAACCTCTATGATGCAATCTTACCTATATTTTGTTAATATTCAATTTAAAAGGTCACACTTTCATTTTTTTTCTTCTCATCGTGACTATCCGACCATTCGATACTATACGATTCTTTTATTTTTGGTATTGTGTGGCATCGAACCGATACTAATATATCGATATTAGTATAAAAGCAATACCACACAATACCGCAGTGAAGAATAACGCTTTTCACACACAGGCACCTCGTGGGTTCTGTTTAGGATTCATGGAAACCCGTGATGAAAAAGCGTTTTTTTTTTACTGGGGCCATAGTCATAAGAATAAATATATTTATTATGACTATGCTGGGACGAAACCATTTTTTTCGGTATCGACTTACACGATACCGGTTATATAGTGTCTATAGTATAGCCATTTGCCAGTATTTTATTACCGTTAATTAAAAGCGTCCAATATGTCATATGATATTTTGTTGACTACGACATATTTCCGTTAAATAGTCTGGTCTGTGAATTATTAAAAGACGAAAAAAATTAAAATAATAAATTTTGCGGTATCATAAAATAAAAATGTTTGTAGCGAAAAAACCCAGACCGTAAAATATATATATATATTTTAAATTATCTTAAAATTACAATCGCTAGTCCAAATTTAAATAAGCTTTTATATTAATACGTTTTTTAGGTAAAATGAACATTATAGTTTAACAATATGATCTGTTCTGATCGTTTATTGAGAATTATTTATAATTATAAGCTCTTTCTTGGTCAGAATTCAAGTATTTTTTGTGAAAATTGATAGAAATATTGTGTTTTGACAACTATATATAGTTAATATAAGTCAGAACCAATTAGAACTAGGATCAGTAGTAAATTAAGAAACTTTTTCAAAAGATTTAAACTAAATTCATGTTAATGCTGATGAGCGGAATTGATCTAAAGACTCCAAAATAGTGTTCTTTAGATACATTATTACAGGTAGTTTAAAGATTTTGAAAATTATATATAAAAAAGAAAAGTTTCTTTAAATATTATAAAAACCTTAAGTAAAAAAAAATATAACATTTAAAGATCTTGTTTGGGCATAATATGCTGACAAAACCATGCTAATTCCAAATAAAAGTATTCAAATATTTTGTAAATCGCCTTAACTACACCGAGTAGGAAGGTTAAGAAAGTTGCAAAAGTAAGTTGCAAAATTGAACGTCTATTCTACAAAAAAATATTAGCCGTAAAACAATTGTTGTGGAAACAAAAACAAATCAACTTTTGTAACAATTGATGTAAAACAACGTCGCACAACTGTTGAGCATCGTTTTTTCAAGTATCGAAAACCAAACATGAATGAAACGTAATACGTTCAGTATAAACAAAATTTTAATTTGATATCCGATAAAGATACGAATAGAATTAGCAATGAATTTTATTTTTTAAACTCAATTAACATAGCTTATTAAATAATTAAATTAAAAGTTTGTTGTTCTGATTTGCAGTTGTTAAGCGGTTAACAACATTGAACGGCTACGAAATCACGTTTTCAAGATGTGATGTCGTAACCATGTTTAATATTTCTTATATTGTTACTCAACACCACATTTAGTAATAATTATAATCACTTAAAAAGACCTTTTTTTAATATAATATATGATTTGATGATAAAAATTAATTCTTTTAAAGAATTTTGTTTTTGTTAAATAACTTTGCGTTTTGCTAATAAGTATATTCTTTAAAGATAATACGTTTCGCATCTAAATTTCGATTTTATGTTTATTAAAATTTTAAAATTCAATTTTAAATTATCATGACAATGTATTTTATGATGGTAGCTTATGATAGCGTTTTTATATTGGTATATTATATGATAATCTTTTAGTTCTTTAATTTTAGATGACAAAAAATTTTGTTATAAAAAACAAATACGAAGTGAACATAATATGCTTATTATAAGCATTTTATATGTTTATATATTTGACAACTTAATGGAATTTATGTTTGATGTTAATCTAGTGTTACCTGATTCAATTACTATAGTTTCAAGCTCTGATGTTGCTGATTTGAATATTTTACATTTACCAAATAATGCAAGGTATATGTCAATAAACGTAGTAAAGTTTTACAATAATACTTAAAGTTCTGATGTTGTTGATTTGAATAATTTACATATCTTATTTTACCAAATAATGCAAGATATATGTCAACATAAGTAGTAAATTTTTTACTGTTATAAGTTTTTAAATTGCAGGTAAACTTAATCAAATAAAAATTAAAAGATTTAAAATAACATATATATTACATATATATTTATAAATACTATACTATTGTACATAAATATATTAATTACTTATATATTTTTAAATACTGTGAAACATACAGAAGCAAATATTGCAAATATATATAATGTACAGTGTATATTATAACTGCTGAAGTTAATGTAGCATACAAAATTTTAGTATAATTTAAATTTGAATATATTTTTTTATATAAAGATTTTGATTTTGAGAATTATATTTGATCAAAATAAAGAAATTTTAATTTCCTAATTTAAGAGTATATTGATTAGATAAATTTAAGGTTTCCTAGATCAAAAGCAATTTATTTGGACCTAAGGCATTCTACAAGCATCTATATAAATATTAAATATCTAGAACAAAATTTTTTGTTCTATATTTGTTGTAATCAAAGTTTGCAAATATAGAAAGTCTTTTTATGTAAGAAGTTTGCATATACAAATTGGTGTGAATGTATAATCCATGTAAATATTCATAGCATTATTATATGCTATATTAATAGATATATTTGTAGTTATTTGTGAAATTTAATTTTATGAAACTGTTTTTTTTTCTGAAATAAGATCATCATTTTATATTAACATATGATTAACACAAAGTTAAAAAGTAGTTCTCAATATGCAGCATTATTGCAGACTTAGATAGAGTTACATCAAGCAAAAATCATAACAGACTGATTTAGAAATTTTTTATTTTAAACTCATTTTTCAAACAAAAATGATATTTAATCAATAATTAATAATTTTATATGATAATAAACATTTAATAATAATTAAATGATATTCTAAAAAAAAATTTTTTTTCCTTATAAAAAAAATCCACTCCCAACAAAGCTTAATAAGTTAAGAAGCTGCACCTCTTAACTTATTAAGCTTTATCTATCATGTGTCACTTAGAATAATTCAATAAAAAAATTTAAATAGTAATTAATAATGCAACAATAATCTCAGAAGAAATATAAAGTAATAATAAGTTATGATTTAAAGTATTCTTTCAATCAATAAAATTAAAAATCCTCAAATCTCTATCCCCGTACATTTTCCTGTTTTATTGTAGTTGTTTAGGAAGATGGTTTGGTTGCACTTGGGGATGAGTTTCAGTGTTGAATTCTATATGATGAAGAAGCAGAATTACAGTATGATGTAGCATACTGTAATTCTGCTTCTATCTAAGCAGTTTCTTCTATTAAAGGATTGTAGTTACTAGATTCAATATAATTTTCACAAAGAATGAACAAATGAAAGCATTCTAAACAAAGAGAACTTGTTATTAAAAAACTATGACATCAAAGTAGTATCAGGGCAAGGAATATAGAAATTATGATTATTCCTTAATACTAGTGGTATAATGATACGTCAGTTTTAGTTTTAGTATGGTATATTCCGACTACAAAAAAAAAATAGTTAATCATTGTAACACCTAGGTGAAGTGAGAATATTATGAAGCTCTTTACTAATTTTAATTTATCATTGCTGCTATACGAACAAGTTGAGTATGCTTTCATTTTCAAATAACTTTTGACTGAGTATAACAAAACATTAGGAATGTGTTAAGTCCTCAGATATGTCATACTTGATTATATTTATTTGCTTAATAATATCATAGCTGTAGCAACTAAGTTCAGTACACAATAGCGCACTTTTATTATTTTTTATCGCCTTAATGGTTCTGATTGAACATTTATGAAACAACTTGTTATTCAATCACTAAAGTAAAATGACGGTCAAATGCTGAGGGGCTTCTACAAAAGTGTTCTTTTTTAGAAGTGGTTTGGTGTTTTATACATTTATCTAGAGATTTTGAGAAGAAGCCCATTGCTTATCCATTTTGATTTAATGTTGCTGCTAACAAAAAATTAAATGCATTTGTTTCAACAAATGGAACTGTTTCATAGATTGTTTTTACAACAGCGTTTACTCTATCTTTTTTATTTATTTAAAAGTGTCTGTAGGTTGCAGATTAAGTGGGGAAGTTGAACTTGTAATAATGAAAATACTTTTTAGAGTTGTTAAAAACAAACTTTGAGTATTAGAAGAAGAGTCCTACAATTAAAATTAAGTAGGAGTTCTCTCTGGGTCTGGCTATTATGAAGTACAACATAAACAAGTTGATTTATTGAGTTAATTGAAATTTTACTTTTGCTGCTGACAAGCTTGCTTTCTTTAGCTGCTTTGTATGATTTTTTAAATTTAAGTTATTTTTAGCTTGAATCAATAATAATATCCAAATTTGCATAGGTGCTTTTTTAAAACGTTCTTAATAATAAATTTGTCAATTTGTTTTATTGAAAAACAGCAACTGCATTTGTTGGACCAAATGGCATATGAGTAAATTGATACAATTTGCCATTTGCTAAAAATGCTCTCTATGGATTCATCACAGTAAATATTGGCTGATACTGATTAAAAGTTGCAATCTCTTTTTTAGGTTTTGGAGAGCTTATATGTTGTTTAGTATTTTGCCAGTTTTTTATTTGTATACTATCTGATGTGAATGTGAATATTTTGTTTTTCTGTTTACAACAATGTACAATGTGAGAACTTCTATTGCATTTTTAAAAATCTGTCCGCAATTAGAAGTTTATTAATATTCTCAGCTTTTTGTCAGATATAGATTCATAAGAGCTTTTTGAGAGTTTTAAACCAGTAATATCATTCTTAGCTTGACAATAAAGAACTTGGATTTCTGTCAAATCTTTTAGATATTTCACAGATATTTCTCCATGAGATAGTTTTAAGTTATTTTAATTTTTATTAACTTTGAGTCTAATAGAAATATGATAGATAGATTGAAATAATAACGCTTTATAAATAACATAATAAACATGAATTGTTTGTAAATTTTTTTTACAAACAGTTCGTATTTGTTTTTGGGAGTGATAAGATTAGATCCATGCATTGATTTGTTTTTGTTAATAATACTTTTAAAGGTTTTCTAAATATCACAAAAGCTTCTGAATAACAGACTTTATATTAGTATTGAAGGTATTAATTAAAGAAAAACATAAAAATTAGTAAAGCTTAATTTAGAAACTTCTAGAAGGAATAAAAGTTTTTATACAATCCAAGAGGTGACAAAATTTTGTTGTCCTTATCAGCAGAGAGATGGAGGACATTAGTTTAAAAAACTTTTATAAAGAATATAGTTTAAAGAATTCCAGTCAGTTAAATATAATAATGGAGGAAAAGTATGAGAAAATAAGGAAACAGGGTCTGAACCATCAAAAGGAAAACAAAGAAATAACAAGCACAAGGATTTAGGACTTTCTAAAAGTGGGTGAGAAAGTTACCCATCAGAGTAAGAAAATTTGAAAAGTTGCCTGCTCAAGATTGCTGATATTAGAGCCAACAAGCACAAGCTTATGCAGAGACAAAATACAAATCAAAAAGCAAAGTGAAGTGGTTAGGATTGTCTAAAAGATGGTAAAGTTAACTAAATAAAGATCACTGGTATTAGAGCCACTGACAAGATGTCACATTGCTGTAATGAGGAGTATCTGAAGTGGAGTAGAATTATTCATTTTATAAAACAGTTAGCAGGTAATCTCTAATCAATTAAACAAACTGTATGTGTAGCATGGCTGATTTTATGTGATGGGTGATTTATAGTAAATATTTAATAATAAGAATAATATAATATAAGGAATAGATGGTCATTTAGTGTGATAAGCATTAAAGTAACCAATAAAACAGCATTATTGGGTCAATTTGTAAAGAAAAAGTAATCAATTTTAATAGAAGCAACATCAAGAATAGAACAATTGTTATGTTAAACATTTTCAGTTACATTGTATTAATTTAAGGAGTTAAAGCAAACTTGGTGTAAACAATACTTGTTACCTTAGGCATAGACAATACTTGTTAACTTAAACATAGACAATACTTGTTACTTTAAGCATAGACAATACTTGTTACCTTAAGCATAGACAATACTTGTTACCTTAAGCATAGACAATACTTGTTACCTTTAACATAGACAATACTTTTTACCTTAAACATAGACAATACTTGTTACCTTAAACATAGACAATATTTGTTACCTTAAACATAGACAATACTTGTTACTTTAAACATAGACAATACTTGTTACCTTTAACATAGACAATACTTGTTACCTTAAACATAGACAATACTTGTTACCTTAAACATAGACAATATTTGTTACCTTAAACATAGACAATACTTGTTACCTTAAACATAGACAATACTTGTTACCTCAAACATAGACAATACTTGTTACCTCAAACATAGACAACACTTGTTACCTTAAACATAGACAATACTTGTTACCTTAAACATAGACAATATTTGTTACCTTAAACATAGACAATATTTGTTACCTTAAACATAGACAATACTTGTTACTTTAAACATAGACAATACTTGTTACCTTTAACATAGACAATACTTGTTACCTTAAACATAGACAATACTTGTTACCTTAAACACAGACAATACTTGTTACCTTAATGAACTCAATAATACATACTAAAAGTACCGACAGGAAAACATTATCCACTCTTTATTATGATTTTTAGTTGTTTTTTTTATTTTTTATGTTTTTAATGACTTTTTATCAGTTGCATTTTTTTATGCATTAAGTTCTATTTTATGTTTTAGACAGAAGCAGAAGTATGAACATCTAAGTACAATTATTGATGAAATGGGCATTGCATCTGCAAAGGTATATGATAATGTTTCTATAGTGGTATTATTAAAACTGTTTTTAATTTTATTTCTAACATCTCTTCAAAAAACTCTAGTGTTATTAAGACATAGCAGAGTTTTTGGAGATGTCATGTTTTTTTTTACCTGATGGCAGTTACCCAGTTGTGTATAAAAGTATGAAACTTTCTAAAATCTGCAGAGTTGTTATCACCTTGTTGTTAAAGATTGTTAGCAGTGATTGCATCATGAATAAGATTTGTTGGGCGTTGATTAGCAAAAGCTGTAATATTATGGGAATTGAAGCATGAGTTTGGGTGCTAATTTTGTGTGCTACAAACTGCTTAACTTGTGCTTTGTCTGAAAACATGCCACTATGTAACAGTTTAATTCTTGTATTCTTTTCAAAATTTGAGGTGATCACATTTTTTTTTTGCATGTGAGTAAACAAACATTTTACAATAAAATTTGATGTTCCAAAATATGATGTTGGCAATATACAAAATATGGTGTTGACAGACAAATAAAATCAACCGTTTTTAATTTTTTTTTTCAATGAAGATATTCCTCAGTTTTAATTTCAGTTTCAAATCAGAGTTTAATGAAATAATATCAGAAGCCATTCCACAAATGCAACCTTTAACTCCCCAGTCTTTGATTTTTAAGTCTTTAACATCATTTATTGCACTAACCATTGAATTCCTGGTTCCATTTAATAATTTTAGTTTAATTTTTTTTTTCAGTTTCTAAAATAACTTATTTGGCAAGCAGTTGGTCAAATCCACCTACGTATATCTCTGTAATCCACCTATATATATACATATGTGTATATATATACAGGCCTTGTTTTAAATAAAAAAGTGCTTAATGCATTAGCTTAACGCAATTTTGACGTCATAAAATTATCTTTATTTTTTTTTATAGACGTTAAGTGTTTTAACTACCGCAATAAATAAATAACCGCAAACTAATTCAATTTAACAATTAACTCAAATATAAACTATAAACGTTTTAAATATAAATTTATTATGAAAATTTTGTAATGTTTTCAATTGTTATTTTATTATTAATTTTAGTTCAATATTATTTAGTAAAAAAAAATATATATATATATATATATATATTAATTATTTCTGAAATTTGTTTTTGAATAATTGTTTTTAATCGTTATTGAATAAAAAATAATAATGATTTTTTTTATTTTTAAAAATTTCTAGAGTAAACAAAAAATATTAACATTGATAAACACAAACCCATATTAATTATTTAAACAACGATTTTGTTTTGACTAGCAAAGAAAAATTTAAGTTTTTAAATATTTAAAAAATTTTTAAAAGCGTTTCAACTTGCGTTTTATAAAAATATAAAAAAGTTTTGTCTGCTTTGAAGCGTATTTTTGATACGTAGTTTAGAACGCATTCGCTAGGAATTTAATTCATAAACTTTTTATGTTATTGTAAAAATATTTAACTTTTTAAACAAATCACAAAGAAACAGAGCTATAGAGAAAAATCGTTTTCAACAATTTAATCTTTTTTTTTTTTTTAATTTTGGGAAATTAAAAAAAAAAATAAATTAAATATACAAGTCTTAATTATGCAAACTCTTTTATTAATTATTCTTAAAACAAAAAAACAAATACTTGTACGCCAAACTTTAATCGTGCAAACTTTTGCACGATTAAAGTTTGGCGTACAAGTATTTGTTTTAACTATAACTATAAAAATACTCAACTGAAATAATTTAAGTATATTTAATAATTTGAATCATATCTGTTTATAATAAACGTTCGTAAAAATTTGTTTATTAAAAATTAAGTTCCTTAACTTATAAACAAACTCAAAAGTATTTTCATTCTACGTATTATTACAAAACTCTTTTTTTTTTTTCGTTTGTAAGCAATTTAACTTAATAAAATAAAAAAAAGAATAAATATGAGGTAATCTTTGTTAAGAATAAATTTAATTTATTTATTGAACTATATTTTTATTTTTAATTATATATCAACTTAATTAAAATATAGTAACATGTTAAAATATTTTAACATGACTTGTATTATTTATAAACCGTTGGGCAGTTGCCCTTACGGCTCTATTGTTTTTGGATAATATTTTATTTTGATGAAGATCACATAACTTACATTTGATTTTAATAACGTAAGTCTTCTCTTTTTCTGTGATCATCATCGCATCGGCAAAGTCCCAAGATTTAAAAGTTTTTAAAGTAAATCTTTTGTCCTTCAAAATACAATCCATATTCGAACTTTAAATAATTTAGAGATAATAGAAATATACAAGGTTTTTATATACTAGTTTGTTTTGTTTTATAAAGAAAAATACATATTCATTAGTAAAAAATGGAGACTGTCATTAAACTAAAACGTGCTTTAGTATTTATTTAACGGAACCTGTAATGTGCGCGTGCATAATAAAACCTCTGTTATATAAATATATTCAACGTAATATTAGTGTCATTAGCGGATGTTATAGTCTACTCATGATTTCTTTACCTTATATTATAACTTGATTTATGACAAAAAAAACTTATTGAATCGCACGCAGAAGAATTTTAACAAATTGTCTTCATTCAAATATTGCGAGTAACAGGTAATTTTTTTTCTGTGCCTCCCCCTCCCCCCGCATAACTTAAACTATATACTAATAAACTAATAAGAAAAGCTATATACTGTTAAACTAACTATAAGCTATATACTATTAAACTAATAAGAAAAGCAAAGACATTTTTTTTAACATCTCGAAAAAATGTCTTGATATTTTTGTTATCATGATAACAAAAATATTAAGACATTTTTTGAGATTTTATTTAAAAAAATGTCAATTCTTAATTACAAATTTTTTTGCAAATGTTTTTTATTATAAATTCAGTAAAAAATTCATAAAAAATCTATATTACAAAAAACTTTTATATTTTGTATTAATAAATATGGAATATAGATTTTTTAAAAGTTTTTTACTAAAAACTTTACTACTTTTTATTAAAAACATTGCAAAAAATTTGTAGTTAAGGATTGACAAACAATTTTTCATGTTGCTAAATATTTGGATAAAAAGTTTAGCGTCAAATTAATTGCTATAAAAAGGAAAGATATATCGCGATGAAAAGTTACAACAATTAATTTTAAAGTAAATTCTTTTTTTTAATAAATACCTTTACATATCGTTATTTAAAAGTTAATGTGGTTTTTTTGAAAATTAATTACTTCTTTTATGTTACCGCTAATTTAAAAGTTAAAAAATGATAAAAAGTAGCTTAACCAAAACAGCTCTACGCGTACGTAAAAAGCACTTAAGGCGTACGTAAATCGCTCTAGGCGTAACGCTTTAAAACAAGGCCTGATATATATATATATATATATATATATATATATATATATATATATATATATATATATATATATATATACAGTAGTGTGCAATAAATTAAGGCCACCTTTAAAAAACAACAAATTATCACTTTTTCATTGTCTTTGGATGACATCATCAAAATGTGTTGTATTGCGTGGTCAAATTTTGTTATCAACACAAAGCACATTAAGCGTTTTCCATTTCATAACAATATTGTTTCATTTTTTTAGGCATTTGAAGTATAACTTGATGTATTTTTAACATGGGAAGAAAATCAGATATTAAAATATCTGATTTTCTTTTATAGTTTTATCAAAGGACAAATTAATGCACTGCATGTAGTAGGACAAAGTCAGCGTGCTATAGCAAGACAGTTAAAGATTTCAAGATGTGCTTATTAAAAATGTATTAAAGGAGGAGACAGGTAGGCGTTTAAATTGCGGTTGTCCCCGCAAAACAACCAGTTGTGAGGATCGATTTATGAAAGCTGTAGTAGTACTTAGTCCAACTGCATCCTCTGCTTGCATAGCTCAAGCGCTTCATGAGAAAGGGACAGATATTAATTCTTGCACAGTCAAACGACGCCTAACTACAGATTTCAAACTATTTGGAAAACGACCAGCAAAAAAATTGTTATTGACAAAGGTACAATTGGCAAAAAGGATCAAGTTCTGTAAGACCTTTAAAGGTAAACCTGTGGAATGGTGGGATACAGTAATGTTTAGCGACGAAAGCACATACCAGCAGATCAGGGGATCAGGTTACAATTATGTAAGATAGCGCAAGAATCCAAAGTATACGCTGAAAACAATTAACCACCCCCCAAGTGTTATGGTTTGGGGGTGTATCTCCAGTCAAAGACGTGGGCCTCTTGAGCTTATGGATGACACAACCAGACTGAATGCTCAGTCGTATATTGATATTTTGAATAGAAAGTTAAAGTTACACATGAATATTTCAAATATTACAATATTCCAACAAGATTCGGCACCATGCCATGTTGCTAAGAAAACACAGAACTGGTTTACCACAAACGGCGTTATGACCTTGAACAACTGACCATCAAGTTCACCGGACTTAAACATAATAGAAAATTGCTGGAATTTAATGAAAAAGAAAGTTGCGGCACACCAACCCAAGTCAGTAGAGGACCTGAAACATTGTGAAGGACGTTTGGGTGAAGAAAATTTCGCTGGATTATTGTAAAACTCTGGTTCGTAGCATGCCTGCACGTATTGATGCAGTGTTGAAAAACCATGGTTTTCCAACCAAATATTAGTGCATAGACTGATAAATAACAAGGACTGGTACATTACACATTGTGCTATATCAATTAATAAAGTTGCCAAACATTTACATTAAAAAGTATAATTATTCTCTGTTGTGTTGAAGAAAACTTGTGAAATTTCATGTGGCCTTCATTTTTTGCACACTACTGTATATATATGCATATATGTATATATATGTATATATATATATATGTATACATATATGTATATATATGTATATATATATATATGTATACATATATGTATATATATGTGTTTATATATGTGTTTATATATATATATATATATATATATATATATATATATACACACACATATATATATATATATATATACATATATAAATATATATATATACATATATA